CGGTGGTGATGGCGACAAGTTGAGGGGTCAATTAAGTGTGTGGTGACTGGACCATTTAACACTGGGTAAAGGGGGGCTATAGGATATGTTTGTGAATTTTGTGTTAAAATTTCGGGCCCTACATGAGGAAAGGAAATGGCGAGTTTATTAAAAATAGTATGAGTTGACTCTATTGCAATACACAATATACAAGGGTTTAATAAGCTTGTAATAAAAGTACTTGTTTCTCAATATCTTGTGTCAGTTAGTATAGCACCTCCTGACAATATAGGTTTGGTGCTCTGGGAGGTGTATAGTGGTTCTGACACACATTAACCTCCAAATGCATGGTCCACAATTAGCATCTTCATATGAAAAGTTGCAATAATTGGTGGACTCCCCCTATAAAAAGGTGTGTTTCATCATCAAATTTAACAGAGTTGTGGATTCGTGTAGGTACTTGTATTGTGATGATTGCGAAGCAGCAGCACCCTTGCTCAACCCTCCCCTGACAGGTCACGTGACTTGATCCAACACGTGAATATCTTATCTATTGTATGTTATCTATGTTTGCCCTTGTATTAATGAACCCATGAATGGCCATGTTTTTCTTATCAATATTTGAATAATTCATAAAATGATATCTCTATTATATCACTACGTTCACTAGTACAGGCTATTCCCGCGGGCTGTAATCGTAACACTCTAAAAGCACACCAAACAAAAAAGAGTCAAAATCCGAAAAACAAGATAGCTTAATCTTCGCAGTCAGTCAGAAGAGTTCTCGCTCGTTTCTGAGTGGCCGCCAGCGACGCCCTGGTCTTGCGTTTACCCCCAGCATTGAAATTCTCAAATTCGGAGCGAGAATCGGATACCAGGAAGTGGGGTGTATTGCTAGAGCACACCTCGCGGGGCGAGGTTGAACCGTCCGATGGTTCTGGAGACAGTGCTCGGTCTGATGACAAGCATGGCGAGGAGAGGGCTGAAGGTGCAGTACAATTCCCATGGAACAAGTCCAATTGGAATGGAGATAAGTGAAGTAGTTTTCAAAGAAGAAATAGAAAAGTGCAATGAGGTATAAGCAGCAATGAGCAAGTTTGAGTAGATAGTTCTGGGCTTCCACAGTAAGTGTAAGGCTCAGAGTAAAGACAAGATGTGACTTGTAACCATCAAAGATGGCTGAGATAATACCCCAATCACAACTTGCAGGACACTTCAAATGGTGTCTTAGGCAAGTTGTGGTTACAAGGTAAAAAGTGTCTGCTTTCTTGATTACACCCAGTGTACATACATAAGACAACAGTATGTATCTGCCCACAAGAGTCTATGTACCCACAGGCATACATAGATCTTCAAACCAATCTGAATGCATGTACAGTAGGGGACAAAACTGTCCCAATGTTTTGATAATTCCATTAAATGTTGTATAACTGATCACATAAATTTCCTAAAATGGTCAAACTATTCTAGCAGATGTTCTAGCATACTAACCTTCATATTCCCAAATATTACATAATGCTGATGGAGATTGGTGTCATAGTGAATATTTAAAAATGACCAATCATTGGGACAGTTTTGTCCCCTGCTCTTTTTGAATCAGGTATCTTGTTATTCTAGTACTTTGTATGGCCTCCCTTGGCCTTTATTACAGAAGCTAGTCTTCTTGGAATACTTTCTATAAGTTTCTGACACTCCTGAGGCTTAATCTTTGGCCATTCCACTTCCACCCTCTCCCATAACTCCCAAACTCCCTTTGGTGGTAAAGGATATTTCTGGAGCTGTTTTTTCAGGTGGCACCAAAGATGTTCTATGGGATTCAGGTCAGGAGACTGCTAGCCAGTCTAACACCTGGGCAGGAGAGGGGCTCAGTGATAGGCTGGTTAAGGGTACAGTCAAGTTTGGAGGAGGAAATCTGATGTTGTGGGGCTGCATGTTGTGGGAAAGACCAGGATATGCCACCAAGATTGATGGAAGGATGGATGCTGACCTTTATCTTAGCATTCTGGAAGATGAACTTCAAGCAACCATAGAGTATCATGGCAAGAACACAGAAGATGTGGCCTTTCAGCAAGAAGAGGACACTTGGCTACATAAAAAGCAATAACCTTTGAAATGCTCCCACTCTTCTTAGGGCCTACAAAGTGATCTACCAGATTTGATAAAATGAAATACTATTCATTATCCTACTCCTACTGGAGCAGAGGTTTTCTATTTTTGTGACATATCCCACCTTTTCTCCACTGACAATTAGGGTAGTTCTCTTCCCAACTGCTATGTATATTAGTTATGCGATATGGTATATAAATGTATTTAAAAAAAAAAAAAAAAAGAGGTGACTTGTGACTCACTGTCTTATGTAAGTGTCACTGATCTATGTGACTGTCTGCTTACTAATCTTCCAGGGTCAAAAACGACAATGGTCCTTATTAACTGTCTCTTTGTCGGCAATGACCAGCCATTCCAGCATATTTTTCCTATTCAAGTCTCACCATATGAGACCATTGTGCAGCTTCGGGGGGCAATCTTGAAGGAAAAGCCCAAGTGGCAATACAGAATCAACGCCGATGAACTGATGTTATACACACCAAAGCAGATCATATTGACTCATTCGAAAGATATTTTTAATGCTATCTTCATCCAGTTGAAGCTAGATGTGCCAGAAGAGTGGGATTCTGTTCTCAATGAACTCAACCCCACCTTTACCATTGATGAATCCGGATTGTCCAAACCAGTGAGGCACCAGCTGCATGTTCTTGTCATGGTCCTGGCTGGGTTTATGCAACTATTCGCAGAGAGGATTAGCCCCAGCAACTCATCCATTTCAGGACTTTCCAATATCCTAGCTAGGTTGTCCATCTTGCGATGATCGAACAATCCCAACCCTTTAATTATAGGAGAACCTGCAGCCAAATGACTGCATGTGGAGGGGTCTGTGAAGTCTCTGTTTTCTTAGTTACACCCACTAGTGTACATATATAAGACAATGGGATGTATGTGTCCACAAGAGTCTATGTACCCACAGGCATACATAGTTCATTGAACTAATGTGAATGCATGTAAATAAAGAAATACTTAGTCAAAATTAGTAGAAAAATGAGGAAGAAATATAGGAAATATAATATGATGAAACAGTTATATTCCCAGAGAGGGGTATCCCTTACACCACCCCATCCCTATGTTTTGAACACAAAGTGTGAGGGGTACCCCTCTCTGGGAAATATAGCTATTTTATCATATTATAATTCTTAGATTTTTCTCTTATTTTTCTACTATTTTCTAGCTAATGGAATCTTCATTTATATTCAATTGTGTTAGTTCAAAGATCTATGTACACCTGTGGGTACATAGACTCTTGTGGGCACATGCACACCATAGTATTGCATACACTAGTGGGCATAACTTGGAACTCAGACACTTTTACCCTGTAACCACAACTTGCCCAAGACACCCTTTTGAAGTGTCTTGCAAGCCATAATTGGGATATTGTCTCAGCCACCTCAAATGGCTACAAGTTAAGACTCCACATATTACTCTTAGCTTCATACTTTATAGTCGAAGGTCTGACCTTATTACTTGAACTCACCTGCCATTACCAGTACCTCCTCATGCATTTTATTCTTTTCTATAAATTATTATTATCTTCATCCTACTTCATTGGACTCATCCCATTCAGGAATGTATTGTAAAGGTCAATTACATTTCCCTCCGTAATATTAATACTTTTTGCTCATGTCCATGGTGTACTGATGTATACCCCCCTGTAATGTATTCAGGGGTTTCTCTTAGATAGCTCAATATATGCTATAGTGTCACAGAGCTTCAACAATAAAACAAGCAAAGGTCCAGTAATTTAAATACTGATACATTAATGAGCTGCGCTATTAAGCTTAAACAACTCAAATCAATGCTTATTTTGATTATTGAAAGGATCAATAGAACAATATATGACTCTTTTAGCAAATAAAAGAACTATTCCTTAAGAATAGGGGCTAGAAGCTGAGTATATGCACAGTAACTTAGCAGAGACTTGATATAAAGCTTCGGATTGTTGTATGCTTATTTGTAACTATTAATAGTTATTTAACAAAGTGTCAAATAATTTATTAATAGAGAAAATAATTTGTGTTGGATTAATTGAGTGCTTGTACTTGATTAATTCAATAAACTTAGGGCTAGGCCTTGAATAATCTAGTATTGGCAGGGATTTCAGTAAGAATACTTATTAGGTTTATTATGTAATTAATAAGCCTAAAGGGTAGCTGTGAGGCTGGGGGAAACTTAGATGATTAGCTAAGTTCAAGAGTGCTGACAAAGAATTCAAGATGCTGCAAGTGTAGGTGCTTGCAGTTAGTGTATCAGACTAAGGCTATTATTGTTCTTAGGATGATGAGATAAGCTTCTGTGCTGTGTTGCAAAATATGTGTGAGATAGATTATTTTATTGGAAACTTGGCCCTCCTTATATACATTTTGATAACTAAATATTTATTTTATGAGGTCATTAGTTAGGTCATAATGACCTCATATTCTATGTATTTTTTACCCTTTATTTATCATGTGATTCCCCTCTCTGAGACAAGGGTTCCAACCTTTAGCTTGAACATGAAGGTTCAAGGCCACAGTCCCGGGACAGAAGCAAATGCTGAGTCGGCGGAATCAAATAGTGACTCGAGTAGTCACATCCGTGACTTGTGTGATATCCCGACACCGGAGGCTTATCTAATAGGTCACATGACTCCAAAAATGCACAAACAAGGCTGCAGCAAGGTGCCGAAAAGCAATAACTAAGTAAATAAAATATAAATAATTAGTTAAAAATTATAATAAAATAAATAAGATATAATAGCATTATATGAGCTCATATATGCTATTATTATGTGAAGTTAAAAGGAATAAGGCCTTATATTTCACAATAAAAATATAATAAAAATACAATAAATTTGAAAAAATATTAAATAATCCACAGAAAATTAAGAGAAAATTATGAGATAAGGCTGATACCTCACACCCCCTCTTTGGGTCAACAAGATGGTGTAGTGGTCAACATCCTTGCTATATATGCAAAAGACCCTGGGTTCAATTACCAGTCTGGTCATTCACTTTCTACATTTTATCATGTGAACAATAGGCTATATGGCAAAGGGTATGTAAGTCACACAGCTCTATACATAGACCATGAACAAAGGCAAGTGTTATGACCTGTTCCCAGATACTTCAATCTTCCATAATTATCTGACTTTCCACCCGAAGTCTTCAATCCTACTTCCCTACTCAATATCTGACCCAACTTCTGACTACAGACCATTTATAGTTCCTGTACTTCCAGACCTCATCCTTGTTCTGCATTTGGTAACTTGTCAGTTGACAAGTATTCACTCATTTGCTTGTTGTATTTGTTAGATTATATCATACCAACCATTGTTCCAACTGGGACCATATGGTGTACAGCTCTGAGTTCAGTGTGTATATGATCTAATAGGAATGGCGCTTAGGGTTATATCCTTAAGTACAGTGTAAGACCAAACCTACCCAAGGTCAGATGGTGTAGTGGTTAACACCTTCGTTATGTAATCGAGAGATCCTGGGTTCAATCCCCAGTCTGGCTATTCATTTTCTACATTACTTATGTTCTCTAACAGTATTCCTATTTCAGAATACTTACCAAAATCCATCTTATTATGATCCTAGTTTGTAGTACAATAATGAATGTGATATCAACTTAGTTTCTTATTCCTTCTTTCTTTCTGTACACTCAATATTTGGAACTCTTAGGAACTCTGAATATCCATAATCTTCCCATGTAAATCCCATCTTTGAAATTAAGGACATTCCAAGTATTTGGGTAGAGGCATACACATAAACTGAAGCCAATGTCCTGAACCTATCCTGAGGTTTCTGAGTTCCTGGATATTTCCTAGTAGTTCTGGAATAAGTTCCAAGATGGCACTTACAATAACAATGTTTCACATTCATATCATTTCTCTTCTTCCTAATACCTACCATACAATACACAGCACCTCAGTCAATTTACCACCCTTTGTGTCAACTGAGGGAAGGTTGCATTTTTTCACTTATGTTGATGTTAAATAGGTGTTACTGGACCGACACACATGTTATTATTCATACTCTCTGTTGGATTTCAAACATCATCCAAGCTCATGTTCCTTTGTTCCCTTCCCTATTGTTCCATTATTCCCCTTTTTTTCACATTCCCATTGTCTTCCCCATATAGCATTATATTGTCCTTAGGGTTGATATATGTAGCTACATGCAAATATAGCTCCTTGTGTGATTGCGAGGGTCTTCTGCTACCTGAGTATGTGATAGAGATGTTAAGTTTTCGTGGTGCTGTTCCTAGACCGTATAACTTTCTGTTTGTCTGAGTGAGGTGGCAGTACTCGTTGTAAACGGATAAGGACTAAATAAATACAAATAGACCTTATGTAACCCATAGTACACGGTGAATCCCCAATGCTGTGACCCAAGCCCTAATGCTCCCTGAAGTTCAGCAACTCCAAATCTGAACTGAAATCCTTATACCGTGATAGCAAGCCTCCCAGCCCAAGCTCCCTCACTGCAACTCCCATTCCCAATCAATACCAAGGCCCTTTATGAGAAGTGTGATGGCGGATGGCGACGTCTAAACAGTGATCCAGGACAAATGTGATCTGGCTCAGTGCTCTGCACAGTCCTTCGTGCCGGCGGTAGAATTCGATTATTTACGAGTGATAAGTCTCGCACGATGTGTGAAATCCGAATGGTAATTTTTGCAGAACTGATAACCTGTTGATGCAAAAAGGTGGGGGGGGGGTATACATCAATACACGGTGGTCGCAAACAAAAGTGTTTCTCATCTCCCATTTTGGATAAGTGGTCAACACCAATTTAGAATAGTGAAAAAAGGAAAATGCAGCTAAAACAAGCCTAGTGCCAGACAATAAAGTCAGCGTACTCCTGGTGGTTCAAAACACACCGAGCAGTCTAAAATAGACCAAACAGATACTGTGGAGCCCTTCCCAGGAGAATCTACAACCTGCAGAGTTTAATGTACCACCCCAGAGCCCTTCCTGTGCGAGTACTGCGACTTCTAAGTCCTTTAATACAGCCACTCACTCCTGCAAGTTCACTGTATCGCCCCGGAGCCCTTCCCATGCAAATACTGCGGCTTCTATGCCCTTCTATACGGCCGCCTAAAAAGGATGCGACGAGTTGACACTCGAAAAAACGAAATTGCGCGAACGGCGATTTGTAGCGACGAGATCAAAGGTGGTCTGCACAGCACCTAGCTATGGGTAACGGTGGCTGGCCGTGATCCGTTTATGTTAAGTTTTCGTGGTGCTGTTCCTAGACCGTATAACTTCCGTTTGTCTGAGAAGGACTAAATAAATACAAATAGACCTTATGTAACCCATAATATGCGGTGAATCCCCAATGCTGCGACCCGAGCCCTAATGCTCGGAATCCGTCGCTAATCCGAAATCCCAGAAAAGTCAAAAAGAGACACGCGTATTTTAGCACTCTCTTACGATTCCGCTGTGAATTGTACCGAGAGGTGAGCTGCCTTATGTGAGCGTCGCCGATCTATGTGACTGTCTGCTTACTAATCTTCCAGCGTCAAAACAACAATGGTCCTTATTAACTGTCTCATTGTCGGCGACGACCAGCCGTTCCAGCACATTTTTCCTATTCAAGTCTCACCATATGAGACCATTGCGCAGCTTCGGGGGGCGATCTTGGAGGAAAAGCCCAAGTGGCAATACAGAATCAACGCCGATGAACTGACGTTATACACACCGAAGCAGATCATATCGACTCATTCGAAAGACATTTTTAATGCTATCTTCACCCAGTTGAAGCTAGATGTGCCAGAAGAGCGGGATTCTGTTCTCAACGAACTCAACCCCATCTTTACCGTTGATGAATCCGGATTGTCCCAACCAGTGAGGCACCAGCTGCATGTTCTTGTCATGGTCCCGGCTGGGTTTATGCAACTATTCGCAGAGAGGATTAGCCCCAGCAACTCATCCAATGCGGGACTTTCCGATATCCTAGGTAGGTTGTCCGTCTTGCGATGGTCGAACAATTTCAACCCTTTCATTATAGGAGAACCCGCAGCCAAACGACTGCGCGTGGAGGGGTCTGTGATGTCTGGTGTACCCGTAGAGCACGTAAGTAGCTGATAAATTCTGGTCCAAGATGTGATGTTCAACCTCGCCCAGATTCCCTCAAAAGTACCGCCAATGATGTTAGACTACTATCGCCGATTCTGGGGAAGTCCCTTAGGTCCAACATTCACAGCCCTTCCATATCAAGACAATACCACGAATCCCGAATCCGAAGAGCAACAATTAAACGGCGACGTCCTCCCGGGCGAACCTTTCCTCAAGGATATCACCCCACCGATTCTTGTGCGTGCTGACTATATTCGAGTTTTCGACGCGGTCAAAGTAGCACATGAGAATTCCCACGATGCGTCCCTTGCAGTGGTTACTGGACAACCAGGCATTGGTGCGATAACTCCACCGTTTGCAGATTCAGTTCATCTTGTTAAATCTTTGTCTAGGAAAAACTAGGTGGATTCACTACGCATTGCGCTATTGTCTTGGAGAGAAGCAGCCTGTTGTCTGGTGCCGATTCAATAAATGCTATTTCTTTTCCGAGTCGGGTGTGGACATCATTGATCCCGTGCTTCACCGGAGTGGTGCGAAACACACGTGGTGCTTTGTGGATTCAATGGACGCCCCTGAAACGCTACCCCCTTCCGTCTGCTCTTCCGATGGAGAACTTTTTCCGGTTTATATTACCTCTCCAAAAGTGTCACGCTGGCGCAAACTCCACCAGTCAGGAAGAATTCCCAAGTTGATCGTGATGAATCCGTGGACCTTAGATGAGTTAGAAAAAGCGTAAGTGTGGATTTTAATTTTCATGTATCATGTGAAAACTTGTTTCAGGGCGCAACTTTACCCCAATCAAAAGCTTGAAGATATTCGTGAACGGTATCATAACGCAGGTCCGAGTGCACGGATTTGCTTGACATTCAGCCCCATGGATATCCAAAATTTTTACAATTCTCGGACAGCACTAATCGACAACGCCAATACAGCAGAGTCGCTTGCGAAGCTTATACGTGCAAGCAATGCTTTTTCCATGGACGAATTTTCTCACCAGATTTGCGTTATTCGCCGTCCCGACCACAACATGATGCACTCGTACACTGTCAACTCTGCTACAGACTTCGTTCACCAAGCACTTCGTCTTCGACTCTGGATTTTGGATGAGCATGAAGTCCTCAAAATGATGCGACAATTTTCTCGGTTGTCTAGTGGCGGATCGTTTGGTTTTCTCTTCGAAGCGCATTTCCAAAAAGTCTTCGCCAAAGGCGTCAACATTGATGCCAAACGTATGTTTCGCGCTTCCTACAAAGGCTCTTGTTGGCATTCGGCATTCCTCGATACGAATTTCGACTTCTCTCTGCGTATCACACCGGTGAAGACCATTGTATATGATCATACGGTTACGAGGCCAGACAAGCAGCTCGTGATTAGGGAGGATTGTTACTATATTCCACGGGTCAATAATGCAGTTGGGATCGATTCGCTCATACTTCACCGTGGCTATCTCTATCTATTCCAGTTTACCAGTGGCTCAAAGCATGACATTAAACCGGGTCTCCAGGGTACTCTAGATAAATTTGCAGGAGTTCCTCCACGGGAAAAATGGCGCTTTATTTTCATCGTCCCTGATCATCTTAAATCTTTCGACTACCCGCACTCTGACAAGGGCTTTCTGCGAGATCACATCCCGTACATAGCACAAGTTAGAATACCTCAATTTCCAACTGTTCCCTCATTCTCTTCAGAGACAAATGCTTAGAACAGTCGTGGTATGCTCGTGGACATTATGTTACATTTTTTCAGGCTACATAACAGAGATTTTTCAATTTCCATTATATTCTACTCCTTCGAGGTATTATGTGTTCCAAGTTTTCTATTTTTTCTATTTTCTTTGCTATTTACACAGTGGTTCATGTGTTTGCGCAGTTAACAGATGTCAATCCCTCCAGTCATTTTGCCGCTTATTAAATGTATCATATGT